TCATACTAATATAAGGTTTTTAACCTTCTCTAGCTATCTGTGTACCACCAAGCTATGAAATTACTATATTTAACTTAATGGGTTAAATGTTAAATGTTAATAATGCCAACACAAATAATCAGACTGATAAATAACTTAATACCTCTTTAAATTCACTGTACTCTTCTTCTGGCATGATTTTTTCCATAGAATACCGTGCTCGAACACGCAGGGATCCTGGTTCAATACCTTTTAATGGTATATGGGAGCTGAGCAGAAACCATTCATCAGTTGCATGCCCTTTCTGTAACCGGCTCAACTGGCAGCGCATAAATACTTGGAAAGAAAAACAAATGGTTATTGTCTAAAAAGATAACACTATTATTAGTCATGCAAGTAAATTTTCCTGATGTTGAGTCTTCTCTATAGTGTTAAATGCTTTTTATCAAAGGAGTTTTCAGGCACATCACACATTTAATTTTTAAGTGCTTATTACTTCACTCATTTACTGAATGCCTACTATGTGTTAGACTCTTCAGGGAGGGTGATAGATGATTAGGACGTGGTCTCTGACTTGCATGGAGGTCAGTCTGGTCAAGAAGGCAAGAAGGCAAGAAATCAATTATGGTACAGTGTGGTAAGTGCTGTAACAGTGGTTAATGCTATTGGAGTACAGAGAAATATCCAATTCAGCCTGGGGAGGTTAATAATCCATTCCAAACAGGTAACTCCTGAGCTGACTTTAACAGGATCTGGAGGTATATCTAAGAATAAAGGTAGTGAAAAAAGAAAAAGGAGCAGTTCAAATAAGAAGGTATGGCCTTCCTTCTGTGTCATTACTACAGACTTTGGATTTTATCACAAAAGTAATGGAGAATCATTTAAAAATGTTAAGCACTTAAATAGTACAGAAATGACAGAATAAACATTTTATAGAGAAAAATTCAGGCTTTGATCTATCTGTTAATACATACAACTTCCTTCCTTAAGCTTGAGTTTTAAGAAGGTATTAACCTAATTCACCCTGATGTGAATTGCTAAATCCCACTGCCAACTGTTTGAGCAACAGGCTGGGAAAAGGTGTGCTGCTGAGAACAAGAACTGGGAGCCTTTAACTACCAAAAGTGAATAAGTAATATATTCACATTTAAGGAAAATTTTTAAATAGAATACTTTGTTACTTACATGCTAAGTATAAAGAAATAGGAAAAAACTAAAAGTATTAATAGAAAGAAGGGATGGAAGAAGCCCCACACTGTTACACCATTTTCTTGTTCTTCCTATTCACTGGGGAAAGGAGGATAGGTATGTTTTTTAATCTTAGAGTCTTAAGTTTACAGTTAATTAGACATTTTGCCCTTTCTCTTTCCTAGATACATTCTTTCTCAAATACTTTTAGAAGGAGATTATACTAGTTGGCCTTCTGTTTTATTTTTCGATTTCCATTTTAGGAGTGCATTTCATTATAAATTTTAAAAGTATATAAAACATGCTTTTTCTACTTTAGAAAGAGTTTCTGTATCAACTTACAGATATCAGGATCTTTGCTTTTTTTTGTTTTATTACTAAGAGTTATTTCAAATCTGTTGATGTCAGGAGGAAGATCACTAAAGGAGCAAGAAAAAAAAGAATTAACAAATGTTCTGGCATCAAACTACTTGATTCCTTTAGTTCTAGTATCAAATAAGCCCCCTATTTCTGCTAAAGAATTTGAGTGTGCTAGATTTAAAACTAGATTCACAACAAATTTTATTATTTGGCATACAAGAATACAGACAAGCAAATTACACAATTTCCCTACCATCTTTAACTTAAAGTACCAATAATTCAAATAATTCCTGGAAACTCAAGTAAACATCTTATATGTATGGGTTAGTAAATGTTTTTGGACTTCTCAGTAATGCTAATTCATATTAATAACTAGGTAAAAAACCAAGGGCATTGTATTTTATTAATAAAGGTGAACAAATGTAACAAAAAAAATTAAAACAGCTGGATTTGGTACTTAGTTCTGACAATTTAGATAACAGAGACCAAAAAAAAAAGGAAAGAAAATGCAGTATGGTAAAAGAAAATTATTTAATGTAATGATAAAATAAGACTTACTCAAAGACAAACTCTTCTGACCATACTGGGTTTTGCCCTTCTCTTGCATGAGTTTTTGCTACTTGGACACTATTCAGGTAGATGTTACAATATGGATTAGTAAAATGTTTTACTGGGAGTTTATGGGCTTCTTCAATATGTAAAACAAGGCTGCTGACCTAAA